GGAATGCCCAAAATTTCTGGAAGATGTTTTTGATGTCAATGGGAAATGGTTGAGCAGCTCCTGGTGACCAGTGGCTGCGGTACCTGGTGGAGAGCTGCCAGCAGCCTCTTCAAGGCCTGTGTCTGCCCATAGCAGAGGTAGCTGTGTGTGTAGAGCGAGTAGTTGGTGCCATACAGCCTGAAGAAGACAGAGGTGTTCTTGTCCTCAATGGTGACTCCAGGCTGGAAGGTTATTTGTGTTGAGGCACCTCCAAGGTCCAGAGCTCCGAGAACCTCCGCATCCTGTGGATGTTCCCATTTCTCTGCAAAGGAATACTGGCCCAATAAGACAGCAAGTGTTAGTGTGAACTGGAGATAGTCACAGTCCCTGTCCCTTCCCTCAAGTCATTGTGGGCTCAGAAGTCCCTGAGGGACCTTCCACCTCTTGTCTCCCTGTTTAACCCCTTCCTGCGTACACCATCCTCAACCCACACAGACCTCCATGTAGCACTGAGGTCTGGCCCTTGGTTGCTGCACATCAGCTGGGATCCAGAGACTTTGAGGAGGGCAAGAGAAACACTTTCATCTGGGGTCTGGAACTGCTGCATTCTGGTGATACCAAACCTGATCCATGTGTAAGTGGGCAGCACAGGGCCAGGCAAAAGGACACACAGACCCTTGATTCCGTTAATCACACGCGGCTCACAAAAACCGGCTACATTGACCTGTGTGACGAGCACCCTGAACCTACATATTCCTCGTGTCTGGGAATAAAGGAACCTGGCTGAGGCTCACTCAGGGATGTCAGTGCTCACCCCCTGTGCCTGCTGCCCAAGCCCGCACCTTGATGAGTGTCTCCAGCAGGTAGTTGACACTGATCCAGCCGAAGGAGCCCTCCTCATTCCCCATCAGGACCTGAGCTCCGTGGAACTCCACCGGGTACTCGCCAATGGCCTTGGCCACCTCAGCAAAGACCTGCTGGGCCTTGGTGCTGTTCTGCTCCCTGCCCAGGGAAGGAGATGGACACCGCGAGTGGAGCGGGCAATGGCCGGGCAGCTCCAGTGTGGGGCTGACAGCGAGAGATTCTGGCTGCTGCCAAGGAGCAGGGACAGGGCAAAGCCACCAGATCCCTCCTCTGCTGCACTGGGAGTCTTCCTAAAAATGCTGCCTGTGGGCCCAGCCTGAGAACACAGGAAGGTTCATGCAAAAGAGGTTCCGGCAAAGCAGGGCCACAGAGATGCTGTGAGGGCTGGAGCAG